GAGGAGGGTACCATTAGAGAGGTGTTGGAACGTCTAGACGAGATACATCCTATACTGGCGATGGGAATAAGAGTGTCAAATCTCGAAAATGAAGGTTAGACTTGATTCTTCTTGCATTATATAGCGTAAACTCTGAAGGTGTGCCAGGCAGACTTATTTATGTGCAAAGGGCCCCCTCTCCATTAATGATCTATCAAGAAGGTAAACATCTTGAAATATAGCACGCTACTAGCTTATAACCCAATACTATTTCGGTTTTTATAAAAGCGATCTATTTGTTTTTAACTGGATCTGGATATTGTTAATGCATCTCCCTTCGTCAGCTCATCCTCAACATTTGAATTGGTACCATTAGTTTTTCAAATTCGTGCTAATTTGCCAATGGAAATTATGATTGTTAATGACATTTGTAAAGAAAGTTTATAGTTTTGGTTGTTAATTATGTATTCTAACACATTTACAAATTTCGCCAAAATGACCATTTCCTATTATGCTGCAGATCGAATCGGTCGAAGGAACTCGAACGCTATACTATAAACGTGCTGTTCGGGAGTAAATAAATACCAAAGGCACGCTCAATCTCAACTAGGTTTCCTATTAACGGCAATTTAACATTTGGTAAATGAAAATCAACTTGTTTCTGTTTACATTAACTGTGAAGCAATAGATTAATCGCAGGCTAATTAAATTAAAATTAATATTAAGCGATTGTGTAGATTTATCTGGCTTATCCGTTATAGTGTAAAGAAGAATTCCCAATTCAAAGGCAACGCCGACAGAAAAATGTAGCGCACTGACTTGATCTCGTCGTGTATAAGGTGGCTTGAGGTATGCGAAGTTAATTCAATGAAAACTTTCGCTTACCTCGTCATTGATCTTGTCACACTAAAGTTAGGTTAAGGTTAGTACCGTTACTTTCAAGTGAATACATTTTTGTGTACCTATATCACCGCAGAAGAATGCTAATCCAACGCCGCATTTTCGTGTAGGAAGGTAACTGCTTCTAGACTAACTGTTAAAGAATGGAAATTGATTTCTCTTTCAAAGTTCTAGTTGTGGGAAAATTTGTCAGTACCTACATAATAGGTTAAGTAGGTAACCTGTGATTTTCAAATTTCTCTTATTAATAAAATCGTTTATCCCGTTGTAACTGCCTATTACCTGGGCCTACTCCCATTTTCACTTTCACATCAAGACATCCACACAATTTAAATTTAAACGATAGGTACGTATGATGTACCTATAGCCGTACCTAAACATTTTTTTTCAGAGGCCAAAAATTGACTTGCTATCCTAATTAAAAATTGATTGCTATTTATTAACTTGATGATGTTCTGGTAGGTTAGTAATTAATGAGCGGTGCAACATCCACAAAAAACCGGCGGAACGAAAGTTAATCATACTTTAATTGCTCAATTAAACATTTTATATTTGGGCATTTAATATTGAAAGTAGACACAACAGGATCAATTTTTGGATTGACTGCTTTTGGTGAAGTAGGTGCATTGCATGCATGCCATGTAGATCTTTAGCTAGGGGATCATGCTTTAAGGGAGATGGTCTTACTTAGAAGGTGAAATGAATATACAGGGCCGCTAAAGATGGAATCACAGCTCTCACGCTCGCACCGTTTAAAATATAGACATAAAAATTAGAACGTAACCTGCCACTGTCAGGACATCAGGAATAGCTATAACTGAATTTTCGGTCAATCTTTGATTCTAGGCTGACATCGTTTATACGATAAACTTCCCTGCCAAACATTTTTATATCAACCCCCTAAGGCTAAACTATTAGCTATGAGGGCAGATAATAAGCGCCGTCTCCCTAAGTTTTAAACTTTATCGTTTAGTTGCTAAGTTCCACTGTAAAGTTGCCGGCACGACCTCTGTTTAGGTCATTGGAATGATTTGCACAAATTCTGCGAACTCTTCAACGAAATAGATTGTTGTTGAGATAAAATGACAGTCCGAACGTCTTTCTATTGACCCAAACAACGATATATAACGCAGGAATACAGGGTTTTAACCAAAGATGGCCACCTTCACGAAATATTGAAACCAAAATTTCCTGACAGAAAGTAGGCATTAAAATGAAGGTTTCAGTACGATTTTGGGTAAAAAGTACTTGCCATTTAGTCTACAATGGAGCGTTGGACGGGTGAGCATCGCGGTTACGCAATTAAGGCTTATTACCAAAATGGCGAGAGTTTAATGCAAACGCGTCGAGATTTTAGACGGCATTTTAACATACCGCGTAACCAACCGGTTCCGTCAGACCATGCGATTCGAATGTGGCTAAACAACCTCGAGCAAACTGGATCGACGTCTAGAGAAAGAGGTGGTAGTGCCAGAAGGATTCGAATCCCTGAAAATATTGAACGTGTTCGACTCCATGAATGCATACGTGTCAACGGAGGCCATTTGACAGATGTAATTTTCAAAAAATAACGTTTTTTAACATTGTATATCAAATGGCTACTCTTTTATTTCCCAGTATGGTATTACTAATTACCAAAAAAATATTTTTTCGATAATAAAATTATTTACGAAATCTTCCCGTTTCATTGCCGAACCCTGTATTTATTATGCTTAATTTAGAAAGTTTACTTAACAGAAATAATACACTAAGTATAGTGGTATAGTGTATAATACCAAATATCTAGAAACATTTTTTGGCTATGTAATCTTCGAAACGCTGCCGTCCTTTTAAAACGATAGTGGTAAATGCTACGTTGTTAGTTATTGTTATTAGACAAGACCATTAACGTTAAATGTATTGTTAGAGGAAGTTGATTATCTCGATGTTAAGAGTAGAATTTCTGATAGCATAATAGTTCTACCATCAACAAATGCCAATGGGGACGGTACAGATGAAGATTTTGGGGATGATGAACATGTTATAATGTAAAACATTCCAGGTAATTTGTCATTTTCATTGTTGCACATATTTTTTTATTATTTTTATACCTACACTACTGGGAGGAACCTTTTATTTATATCTTTGCTATGGGGTATCTAAAAAGAGTTAAATAGGTTTGTCGATACCAAGGTCGATACATTACATTTTATGTTATCTACCTATTAGATTTTTTTTTAGTTTGCTGAGTTCTCAGGCTGAATCGATTTTTAATGATGCTATGTCCAAAAACGAATTTGAGGATAGTGATGAAGATATTTCTTCATAACATTTTATAAAAAATGTTCTTATTAAATTAGATATATTTTAGTAGTGACTATCCGTATTTTATTTTCCCCAATTCAAATGCATATACAGATATGAAATAATATATATAAACCCCATATACTGCCACTGTCTCTGTCGTTATTGTTTCATTAGCAATCCAAAATACCATCAAGCAATTGTCTCACAAGTGGATGCACCCAATATTTTTAGCGCATTTTTCAAGTTTAAAAAAATTCTTTTTTGCGTTTTATCCGTCCGTGCCCACTTCTGCGGTGTTGAACTGCTTTTAGGGGAATTGTCCTAGAGTCCTGGAATTTTTGCCTATAGTGGTGCCAAGTAAAACTTTTGAAATGAGTTGGGGAGAGGGGTAACCTAAATTATACCCTTCATGGTATTACTCTCACTACCTATCAAAATATTGGGGGACTGGTTTTATCCTTCATGGTCCTCTAATGAAAGGCCTCATATGAAAGGAATTAATTTTTACCACCGATATTCCCCCTTCTCGACCCATTTCGTGATTGATTATAATTCCTTATACTTCAAGAGCGGATTGTCGGGTGCGTTTTTCAAATTCATTTGCAAAAAGGTAGCCGTTAATCTCACTTTGGCCGGCTGGCTGGCTGGCTGGCGGTAAATGTGGGCCAGTAGGAGAACGCTTGTTTAAAGACGAGGAGTGTACATGTACCTACCGGAGCTGTGTAATTAATAACTTTAAGGACGAGGGTATATGATGTGGCGACGTCTCGGCGCTATCCCCGAGCGTGTTATACAAACGTGGTGATTTTTCAGTTTTTTCCTATCTCCTTCTAAAGTTTTGGTCCGATTGTTTTCAATTTGGTGTCGTCGGAAAGATCTTGTAAACGCACATCATTCCTGCGTGACGGAATGTTGTTTTTTTCCTAGGAGCGAAATTAACCACCTTTTGCAAGGCGCGCGTCTTCTAGGCCTAGTCGACTTTGGATGCTCAAAAGTTTCTTATAGCTCGAATCGCAGTCTCTCTTTCTCGGGTTGCCTAATAGAAGCTCGAGCTATGAGACATGCTCCAAAAATTGAGTACTATTTTGTGGAGGGTTTTTAGCGAAATTCACTAAAATGCGAATTGCGGGTGAACGGCATATCAGAAAATCTGGTATAGCCTGCCACAAGATCTGATTGATAATGAAGTTAAAATTGGCTAAAAGAATACTAATCTGCCACACAAAAGTTCGCTGAAGTCTCTTCGATCTCACACGAGGACTTTGATAATAGTAATTCTGTCGAGTGCTTCGATGCCGTAAAAAAGCAACAAATGCAGCGGCGTCAATTACAATCCGTAATGGGTAATTGCGTACTAAATATTAATTTATACATCTATAATGTATTTCATTATTAATTCAGAAGTCAAGTACCTATATAGTAACATTTTGGCTTTCAAGCTACAAAGTAACACGCGCACGTAGAAAGAACTAAGTATCATTTAAAGTTTATTCCGATATTAAATAGAACTGAATATATGAGACGTGTTTTCACGCACACTTTCCAATTATAAAATATGTATGAACCATGCAATGAAAAACGAGGATTGATGCTCAAAAAACGGGTTAATGTAATACAGTCAGTGTGAAGCTTAATATTTCAAATAACTTTAACCTCTCAATGTTTGAATTGGTAATTATTGTAATGCTTTCGTCATCAAAATTGAATATTAATACTAAATAAAGGTCGGGTTCAGATAAAAAGATATATTTAATATGCATATTAAGCAAACTGGTACGCAAATTAAAAAAATTGGAAACATCTTCACCTAGATTATGTGCAATTGAGTACTTGGATCAAGTACCTGTGTGACCAATGATCATTTTTTGATGTGGAGCAGGTTCGCTGTTGGTCATAGTTAAATCCTCGTAGTTTGCGTATGGCGGCTGCCAATCGGTTCCAGTGTCGTAGGCTATTATGTCAGGTTTTATTACTAGTTTTGGATTCATTAAGTCGGCAAGTCCACCATATCCCAGTAGGAGAAGTGAAACGACGCCAGCAAGTAGCGCTTTCTTGGCAATTACGACGACAAAAATGAAAACCACCGCGGCCAAAGTCACTAAAATAAGCTTCGCGCCGACAATGAGACGTACATACTTCTTCAGCTTTTTGTTTTTTCCTCTACCTAAAAATGAATACACAATTTATAACAATCACATGCGCCTAAAACGAAGGCTTAAAATTACTCGCTCGAAGGCAGACTACGTTGGTTCACGCCAAATAGTTCAACTAACCCTACATTACTCCATTTGTTCGGGGCTTGTAGGATTAGGTCTCTGAAATCTCGTTAGTACAACACAACTTCTGGAACAAAGGATACGACATTTGAACTTTGTGCACGCTTCTAAAGCATCTTTAACGATGTGGAAGTAAACTGTGTTTATTGACTCAAGACGCAATGTAAAGGTTTACCATAATTCAGAGACAACAATCTATGCCTATGTTGTGTCGTCAGTTTGTAAGTAAACACTGACAGATAGCTGGCGAAAATTAGTAGGGCGCCTAAATATTAAGCGTCTATATGTATATTTAATTGAGGTTAAAGGTATCGATCTATTTTAAATAATTTCTATTTAATCTCATCGGGGTTATATAAGTTACTTAACTGATTAGCAGTGGCGGTGTTGTGTTATTTTGTACGTACATGCAAATTTCTATTTGGTGTAGTTTCCAATAAAAAAGTGGAACTGATTACCGTATTATGCTATCGTTACAGATAAATTTACGGAAATCCACCACTTTACGTGACGGTCAACCGCCAGGTGTAATTCCATTGTATTGGAGAAAGGACACAAATTTGTCAGAAATGTAACAGCGGCCTATCCTGCATTAGATCCCGATCATAAATGGGTATCTAGACTTAAACAATTTAGTAGTAGGTATACGTTTACGCGCCGACAATAAATTACGATTTAGAATGTGCTGTATGTATATTGATAAATAGACGAATATTGACAAATTTTCCAGAGGAAACATCAGAATCCCGGAAATTATGGAACCAAGGGGAGAAATCCGAATAGAATAAATTGAAAAACCTGCAACCTGAGACAGGAACTGAAGCATCGGATGTAACGGAAAGGTCCGAAAAATCTGAAGTATTCCAACAAATATCTGTTCAGAGTACTGAAATTGACCATGCGACCCATTACGTGTTAGCATAATAAATAATTCCGTACTCGTGAATTAGATAAGATCGGACAACTATTTTATTAACGAAATACACATCACATTCATACACACGCTATGATACTCTATATTTCCTTATTTTAACGCGTTTAAAGGAAATTCTTAAATTATAAACTTCAGGAATGACTTTCAGCTTTCTAAGAGGTGCAGGAATAACACGATAGTACGAATATAATGCCGAAAACCAAAAGGTTATACAATATTCCGTTGCCGAGATCTCGATCGATTTATAATAGGCGCACGATCAACCGACAATTGAAACAATAAGCTCCTAGGGGATAGGTAGACTCTGCGGCTTCAGAACCCGAGTTTGATTCCCGATTTTTCAAAGAACATCGGGTGAGTCTGAAACTCAGTACCTGGCGTTAATCTCTGGGGTAGTAACAAGCGACTAAGGTTCAGGTCTTACCTCTAAAATATAATAATGCCTAATGAGTTTCTGTGAAAAATCATATAACTACATAGGAGGGTACATATTACTTTAAGAAGTTATAATAAAGTGCGCAATCAATAAAATCATCCACGCAAATACTGCAGAACTGTACACAGTGAATAATTTTTTTCTTTTAGCACCCACACTGTGTATATTAATTTTTTATTGTTGAAATAGTCATTATTTTGTATGATACATTCCATTAAAAAATTAATATAGAAAAGAATAGGCCTAATCTGAAGAAAAGAGAACGTACAGTAAAAAAAAAACAAGTCTACATTGTGCACAACTCTTGTGCAGATAAAGCGCATTTTTTTAAACAGAAATAGCTTTTGTTTTGATATCACCAATGGATATATTCCTTGCAGACGTAAGTACCTTCTTCCGACAATTCGTTCTTGAGGTATAAGGGAATATACCCGATCACGATAAGAGGTCGAGGAGGAGGGCTATGGTTGGTAGAAATTAATTCCTTTCGTTGAGACCTTTCATTAGAGTACCATGAAGGATAAAATTAGTTGCACTCCCCCCCCCCCCTCCCCGTACTTTGATAAGAGAACAGAAAGAAGGACAGTAGTTGGTAGAAAACGGTTGCCCCCTCAAACCCCGTCGCTCACTGATCTCGAAAAAGGGTCGCACGGGAAAGTTATAGTTTGTACAAACCAATTTATTTCGATGAGGCCTTTTATTAGAATACCATGAAAGGTAGAACATGTCTTTACACCCCCCCCCCCCCCATTTTCTGAAGATTAACTTGGCACCACTAAAGGCATGCTTATGCAAAATTTGAGACCAATTGGTTGTCGTATGTAATAGTTATGAACGTTTTACTTTCAAAAACAGCATCTCAGGAAATAACTCGTTGGGGGGGGGGGGGGCCTTTTAGGCTGCGAAATTTAATGGCTGTCTGGCACACCTTCAAGGTATAGGGTACCTACTGCAAAAAATTCTAGGAGTTTACGACCATTCCCCTAGAAGTAGTTCAAAACGGCAGAAGTGGGTCCTGACGGACGGACGGACAAAACGCAAACAATAGCACATTTTTTTTAATTCTTAAAAAATGCGCTAAAAACTGGAGAAATTGGGACGAAATCGAAAAACGGAAAGAGAAATTAGAGAAAGAAGGGCGCCCAATTAAATGTAGCCATCATCACAATTTATAGCGGTCCGGTGAATATATAATAGCATAATTTGTGTACGCATCACAGGCGGCCAGTTTTGCAGTGGGCAGCTACCTGCGATGATTGACGTGACTGTTTTTATACTAGAAGTGCAATAGTTCTCAGTTTGAACAGGCGGTAGCGAAATCAAAAATTAATTATGACGAAGGGCACTTTAATTCGCTAAGTACAGTGCAACCTGTTTATTCCGCACACATGCTAATTCGGACATCCAGTAATCCGAAACGTATTCTGCTTTGAATAAAAAAAATATTTGAACACTACTATTTACTAATCCGGACAATTCACCAATTCGGACACACTTCTTGCATTTAATTCTCGGGAGTAAAGAGGCTGCACCACTGGCCCGTATGAATAAAAGTAAGCAAATGCTTATACTTGCAAAATTCAAAGTAAATACTCGTAAGTGCTCCTTCGCACTGGGCGACTTAGCAGCGCTTCTAAGCAGAAGGACAGGACGCAGTGCAGCGCTGCTAAACCATGCTAAACAGATCAGTATGAAGGGGCAGTTACGAGTATTTACTTTGAATTTTGCAAGTATAAGCATTTGCTTACTTTTATTCATACGGGCCACTGTATACTCTTACGCCTATATGCGTGATACAATACATTAAATTCATGTGTGTGCAAAACAAGTTCTTCAAATTATGGTATTTGAACGGTCCGCAGAATCTGAATTAAACCAACGAGACTGAAGAATCAAACAGTTGCACAAACTGAAAGAACCCCGAGGATCCTAAAAATGCGATGGATTCTTCTGAAGTATCAGACCAATTCGAAGAAACGGAGCAAATCCAAAAATTCAGAGAAGATTGAGATTCTGGAGGACCTGAGTAAATTGATGAACCTGAAGAAGAATGCTTACAAGAATCCGAAGAATCGAAAGAATCTTATAAATCTCACGAATAGGAAGAATCTGAAGGCACTAAAAAATCCAAGGAGAATATTGAAAAGAATTCAAACAAACGGAAGAACCTGCAGAATAAGAATAATTTACAGAGTGGCAACAAATATTTTGATTCACGAAACGCCATTTGTATGTTGTTGTGTAAAGTACAGGGGGTTGTCGTTTCTCTAGGTCTGGAGTAAAAAGTTAATTGGTTCTGTGATATCCATGTGCGAGGTATCAATACGGCCGACGGAGCAGTGTTTCGAGTATCGCCAGGAAACTACTATATGGAGGTGGTCTCTCGTTTAAATACGAAAAATGAAAAATAAACGAAGCTGATTTCGGGTTGATTGTAAAAGCATATGTCACTGTTGCGCTCAATTTTACGGGCGGTTTCCTCAGTTCTTGAGTGAGGCGGCCTTCCTGATGTTGGGTCGTCTCGACCACATCGGAATTGTTTCGAGCAATTTTTTATTTTTATATTTAAATAAGAGGGGCCGTTAATGCCCAATCACGTGATGCGGGAAGTTCACTCGGAACAAAAAATACTGCAACGATTGTATGTTGTAGAGTACCCCATCTGCGAGGCGCAAATTTTAAAAGAAATTAAATCGTGGAAACGGCATCTTAATTTTCTAGGCCGTCTGCAAGCTACGAGGGCTGCTTTTGAAAAGGGGTCTATAACTACGTAATTATTGAAAATATTGCTATACATATTTAGAGGGGTTTTTGTAGGTTTTTTAAAAAAAAGTTTTGGGTATTTTTTTAGTTATAAACCCAAAATAGTGTTCGCTTATGGAACACACCAGATTTTGTTTCTTCTTCTAATTCTAAAAACTGGTTTATTGAGCAATCTGAAGAAAACGATAATTGGCCCCTTAATGCGATGTTTACTGATGAAGCCGGAGTTACAAGTAGGTATGGGTATTTTTAATAGATACAATAACTACTGCTGGACAGAAGCAAATCACAACGTGACAGTTCAAATGAAAATCCCTTCAGATTTAATGTGTGGGATGGGGTTCATCGAAATACACCCTTCAAGAAGTTGTTGCGCAAGGGATGTAACAAATTATTTAAATAACTTACTTATCTGAAAAGAAATAGTGCCATTCCCACTGAAATACAATTTCATTCAACCAAGTGAAGGCACCCACCTTGTGAGATAACATTTTCTAATTTGTCCTTTAGACTGTTTGGCATCCAACTTGCCAGAATTTCGGCAGCCCGCGAATAGCTGAACGATACAGTCCTTCGTTTCCAAAGACTTTCGACAACTTCCATTAGGTAAGTCTCGAGTAACGTCTGCCTCTCCTCGACCTCTTCAGTTTTTCCAAATAACTTATCATAATTTTCCTCCAACGCCAAACTCTGTGAATCGTTTCCTAACCGTATTTGCATAATACCATCCGCCAAACTAATGCTTTCGTTACTCACTATCGATTTAGCGGTTCTGTACACCTATAAAAGACAGGATATAATTGTGCTGTTTGTGCGTGAGCTGGAATAAAATGTTAATAGACACACAACATCCTGACCTGCATTTGTAAACATGAGATGGAGTCCTTTCGTAGGCAATCCTGAAAGCTAGCCCCCAATACAAATCTTCCGCATGACATTGTTATAGCGCAAATCGTAAAAATCGGCCATCTTGAATACATTTTATGGTTCATACACATCACAATAATTGCACAACGTTCCGCGTCTTTTTCTTTTGTACGCTAAACCGCACTTGACAACCCCACCTTCATATCAAATTTATTTAACTTGTCCAAGAAGTACTGCAAGTATTTGTCTAAACAATTTCCTGAAAAGGCACGTTACTTTATTACGTCCACAATAATACGGGCAACATTTCAGGTTTAAACAGTAAATTCTAAGGTTAAAGTTCGCTCTGTGTACCTAATTCACCCGCTGTGGCTGTTTAATTTAAAAAGATGTCGCAAAGGGAAAGGTAAGGAGCTCGTCATTGACAAAATATTTATAAAAATATAAATACTTCGATCCATATGAAATTCTACCCTGTGTGGATTAAGGGGGAGGTCAAGGAGTGTGTCAGTCTTCATTGTACTTAAAATGACCTACAAATTTAACATACGCTACAAATTTCCACAATGGTGTAAAACAGAAACGAATTTCCAATCACAATTTTAGCGTAAATTTGTATCAAAATCGAAGTGATGAAGAATATATATACACAATAAACCCATAACTTTAGTACCAAGCTCTGCGTTGAATCGAATTGAGAATTGTGAATCGTTGTATTATTTTTCTGATCTATCACCTTATTTCAATGAAAGCTCCGCTACTTTCTCATTTCAGTATCCAGCCGTTAACTATAAGTGTTTATGTATGTTTGATGGTAATTTGCTAAAACAATGAGCATGAAATTGTTAAAGCATTAACTTTCAACAAATCACATTGGTTTGATTTTTGGTAGCCCTTCCCTCCTCAGGCGGTCACTTGAAAATTATACGCACCCAATCATTGGGTATATTACATAGCAACCAGAAAATTACCTACTTATACAGACGTGATTAAAAAACAAAATCGAGATTGTCTGGCCAAGGCAATGAACGCCATATAAAATCAAAGAAAATTTATTTTTATTTCCTTGTAAATACCTACATAAATTAAGTAACGGGAAAAAGCACGCGCCCAACACCTCCTAAATGGTGCCTGTTAGGTTCGTCTTGGTGAAAGTCGTTCTTTTTTGTTACTTATTTATGCTACAGAGGAAAGCGATGCAAGTTTTGTAGGGGAGTCTCCAAATGCTTTGAGCGATTAGGTTCAAACTTTGCACAATTGAGCAAAAATGCCTATTGAAAATGGGCCAAACCCATAATGACTCCGTATACACAACACTTAAAGGAATTGACAGGGGATTACTACTATCGAATTTCAATCGAATTAAAAAATGATCAAGTTTAGTAGATAACTCACTTTTTTGGGCACGGATTAAATAACAATGACAACTCTATTTATTTATTTATTTATTCATTTATTTATTTATTTTTTTATTTTTTATTTATCTTTCCATTTTCTGTTAAAAAACTCATTAAAAATCAAATTGACTGAAGTTCCTGGTCATTAATAACATTAGAACGACCCCCAACCATTCGTTATTTTCCTAATTTTACCCGGAGTCTCAAACTGCAAGGTGATTCTAAGACAGCAACAAACAAAGGTATTGTAAGGGTTGTGTTCAAATTGTTTTTGGTTGAATCCGTTTAGTAGAATAAATTACGACAAATAACATTTCTCTCGTTCATTGTTGTAATTAAACAAATGGAAATATTGATCTTTTTTTTTATTGTAAAGGTAATTATTTTCTTTTAAGTCATTTTTGTGAATTTAATTTTCTCTTCATTTACAGTGATAAAGATTAAGGGTCATAGTCATCATAGAATTAACACCAGCATCTCTTAAGTAAAACTATGCTGGAATTTGTCTACCATGGCGGAGGATGTTAGATACCGACTGTATAAATAACTGGCTAGTCTGCCAACTGAAACATAAGAGAAGGTAGCATTGAGCATTGAGCAATTAATTTAAACATCTACGGGTTTTCTATAATTCAAATTAATTGCTTTAGAACAATTTCTAACAAAACCAGGCGGATTGTTAACATTAATATCACATCACTGGACCTTGAAAATTCGACAACCGCACAGTTCAGAAGCAAAAAAATGTTCGGATTCTTGGAGGTTGCAAAGAATGTCTATTATAATACTACACTTTCCAGATTCTTACATTTAAATATTCCACAACTCTTTTACAATAGATGTAGGAATCGAAACAGACCATGGATTTAAACTTGATTTTTGAGAACAGGCTCTTCATCTTGTCCGTATACCTATTGAGTAAGGAAATGGATTATGAAAATTGAAACGGCGGACTATTATTAGATTACGTTAACTGCTGTATGCGTTAAAGCATAAAAAGATCATGTTAATTTGTATGCCACAGTAATAAAATTTATTGCACAATTGAAATTTATTGGGTGTGAATTGGCGGCGATCGTATAATCTTTATGTTATTTATGCCAAAACGGTTAATTTCTAAATTATGAGTTGTCTTTGTACATTTACAAAAAGTATCAGACGGTTTCGACTATCATACAATCATGGGTAGGACCTGTTCCTACGCTAACTATATCCGCTATGAAACCGAGATCGAAGTCAATTCCGTCTGTTGAAGCTTCTGGTATCCGTAACCCCATTGGGAAAAGGTCACACATAATTGTGTCTTTAAAAATCAATCTCTATCTGTTTAATTTTCCATAGTTGATATTCTGTTTTTGTCTGCAGAATCATATGACCCTTTATATTGTGATACCAGATCACCGAAAATCTATTTTAACATACTCGTATTATGTTGGAGGCATTCAGAGCTACGTTGTGTAGTAGTAATTGAAGATGGGCATTGTTCAATGCAATGATAACAGATGTTAATGGAAACTACTTAGTTCCACCTTAATTATAGCTTGGAACGTGTATTCTAAGATTATGCCACGCACAGAGGTGTGAACAAAATGCAATAATGCAAATGTTAATGTACACCAGCATAATTAAACACTAAATAACCACATTAAAAATCTAGAATAAATTAAACAGTTAAACGTTATCAATTTGGGTTAAGTTTTGTTAAGCGATGCGTTTCAAGAATTCGTAATAAACTCTTCACAATCATTTTCTTAACTCACCAGATAGTTTTGACCCTAATCATGAACAATTTCTATTCCAATGAACTCTTTTGATAAACTATGCGAAAATAGTCAAACTGATTGTAAAATTTGTTTAATTTATGCACCTCCAAAAGAGTAAATTAGCGAGAATAGATAGGTAGTGATCATCACCAGATGAGACCTTTACATGGGAAAGCATATCTACACATCTACAGCTGTTGAACGTATACAACGTGAACAGGAACGGATAACGACCATACTGGAAACAAAGGAAGCATTCCATTTTTATTCCCATAGATGGGCTACCCCTCTGATGCAACGAGTTGAATAGGATTGATCCATTAGCAAAGGTTTATTTTTGAGAATGGCACGCCTCTTACTGGATTTGCGTGTATTAGACATAGATTTGTTCGTAAATATCGCTTACCTTAAATTTGTGGTGAGAATCATTTTGATTTGATTTTAATTATGTCAGTTATTATTTCTGATATAGGAATGGGGTTTCAGTATATGTTTAAATGTCAAATATTGAAAGATTATCCATAATCGCTACTTACAATACTAGAGTTACGAGTGTTAGGTACTACAGGTAAGGGTATACATGGCATCCCCAACTGAACCGTGTAATGTCGATTGGAAACAAAAGAAGAACATAACAGGGACCCTAAATTGGAACTTAATGATGACTGGGGTACATGGAATCAATCTTGTTCTAAGCAACATATCGAATACGATTCTAAATAAAGAATTAGGGCAAGAAAAAAAGATGGGAGACGTATGCAGATGGTAACTCGAACATTTTACGTTACTGACGAGTGATGATTAATGTCAATCTGTCAGTGATGACAGAGGTCATTATAAACACTACCAATGTGACAGGTTCAGCCGAAAATGTGACAGGTGCGGCCGGTAAAAGAAAAAATCCCCTTTCAACCTTATGAAACTGCGCTGCGTGTAGCTCGCCTCCATTTGAACCTGATAATTGATGCTCTCTTGTGCTGGTGAAGTACACTATTGTTTTCCTAGACATCGGATCATAAATTCTTTATTTCGGCCGCATTTGCGTTGCTGTTATTTTGTTGAACGTACATGTCAATTCTGATCAACTAGCTCTGTTTTTTTTTTTATGAATATGGCGCACCAACTTCTGCGGTCTTTCGGCGCCTTACATAGGTAGGTACTATATTTTCGTGTATATATTTGCAGACTTTAGAAACTGTAATACATTCTTAACAGTGTTGCTGTTCCTCAAATTATTGAATATATTTCACGCAGAGGGGCATATAAGGGACAAGTACATACAAAATGTTCGACGGTTAAAGGTACTGTACAGTGTACAGCGCTCGCATAGTGGGGGTGGGTCTTTTGTGAAGATATGTTTATGCGTGATTGAAGTGTGTCCTATTCTAAGTCTGTGTAGAATAATCATATCTTTCCTAGGTAATAGTAGTGGTGCTTTCCATCTATCAACTGTATCTTGAATTATGTTTAGATGTCTATTAGATTCTTGCCATGCTCGCTGCCATAATAATTTTATTTTTTGTTCTAGATGATTTTTGAAGTCCCGCGGATTGCAGAGATCTACTTTTAATATTCCTCCGTTTGCAGCTTCCATAGCTGCTCGACATGCGGCTGTATCGCTGTTCTCGTCAAGTCCATTTTCTCGAATATTTTAATTCTCGTTCCCTTTAATTCCTCATTTTGCAACTTGACTTTCTTATTCATTAACTCCATTATCTCATTCAATTCCTTATTCGTCCATTTCGATTCGTCCGCCGATGCTATAATTGCCTCCATCATCGCGGTGAAGGGCCCTTGTATGGTCATTAACCCCATTGTAGACACCTCATATGTTAGCGTAGACAATAATTTATTCCGCAAAACAAAACATAAAAGAAGTTAAAATAACAATGCTGGAAGAAAGAAAGGCACTTAGAGCCTGTTTTTACATATACCACGCACACAGGCGGTCGACAGGCAATTAAATAAAGAACTCTTAATTAGTTACAGTTTTTCAATAATCCAATAAATTTGCTGGTTAGACATA